TGGCTGTGGCAGTGGCTGTGTGCAGCAGCTGCAGGAGATGCTGCCTTTACTAAACAGTTTTGGACATAACCCAGTGCCACCAGAGTCCTCCCACAGAGGTTTTCCACCAGGGCTGTGCAAGCCAAGGCTGCCTCTGCTCAGCAGCTTCCCAAGCTGGGGCAGGAGTGTCTCTCCTGCTCTCTCCCCATGACGGGCTGCACTTTGCTTTCTCTTCCACCTCTGCACTTGGGGAGGGCACAGTGGGCTAATGCCTGAAGCTCAGTCTGGGGCACATTTCATTTATTACAGTAATGGTCAGAGAGGTGGAAATTCCTCCCCAGGCAGGTGGCAAGACCCAAGGGGACAGCAAAGAACTGGGCACAGTGGGACAAGCCATCTGGCCCTGATCCTGGCACCCAGCAGCCCATGGGGACAATCTGCTGCTGGGCAGGGCTGTGCAGGGGGGCTGCCATGGGGTTTCCATGGGGCCCACGGCTCTGCCATGATCTGGGGCCAGGCTGGTCCCTCCCGATCCTGCTGTGTTCACTGCTGCATCCCCACAGCACCCTCTCCCTAAACGCCCAGCCCCTGGCTGCACGCTGTGCCTGCAGGCTTGGGCATCGCCTGCTCCCATGCGCTGACTTCTCTTTACCTGGTCCTTGCAGACGATCCTGGTTGGAGACAGCGGTGTGGGGAAGACATCTCTGCTGGTCCAGTTTGACCAGGGCAAGTTCATTCCTGGCTCCTTCTCTGCTACTGTGGGCATTGGGTTTACGGTAAGAACCCAATTCCTGGTCCCTGGGCTGTGCAACCTTGCTTACCCTTGGGGAAGCAGTTTTACTTGGGTAATCATAAGCTATGTTTCTATGCTTCTAAGCGGTGCTAAGCACAAAGAATTGGGAGAATTTGCTTTGGTGCTGCTGGATGAGGGGCCCTGTTTGGCCGTGTGCTTGCCGGCAAGCTGGGGGCAGGCGCGCTTCGGTTGCTGGAGGGGATGGAGGACAGATGAGGCTTCACATCCCAAACCTCTCTGTGGAGCCGTGCCTGAGTGCAGCCTTTTGCTTCACACCCAGAAAGCTGCCTTTGGAGCGGCCCTGCTCTCCCAGGGAGAAGCCAGCCTGTGTCCTGCCTGTGCGGCCCAGGGCCCTCACGAAAAGTCAGGCAGATGGCTACAGCGCCTGGAAAAAGCACTCGGCTGCCGTCCAGCACTATTTGCAGAGCTGCTGCGGGGCTGGTGAGTGGCTCTGACACGTGTGTCCTCTCTCCTGGGGGAGACTGGGACAGAGACAGCGCTTTGGACCTCACTGCGCAGTGAGACCAGCATCCCTCCAGCATCCGTGACAAGGCTGGGGCTCAGCAAGAGGCCATTACCCATGGGATGGCTATTACCCATGAGGATGCTATTACCCGTGGGGATTTTCTCTCGAGTCCAGGCCAAGGAAGCAGGGAAACATGTGGTACCAGCATGGGGGGTCTGGGGCCAAGCAGCCCAGGGTCTGGCAGCCAAGAGTGCCCCTGCGGGCAGTGCCGAGCCCTGGGCAGGCAGAGGAGGTTCAGCCGTGCTCCTGACCTTTGCCAGCTCTCAGCTGCTTTGTTTCTCCTGCAGCAAATGACAGCATGGGGAGGTGATGCTCAGCCAGGCGTTTTTCCTGCCCAGGCAACTCCGTGAGCGCCAACACGGTTTGCCGTATCCTTCCAGCCCCCCTCCCCAGCAAGCTGCAGGGGAGCTCAGCCGCTTCCAGGAGCTCGGAGTGTCTCCAGCCTTCAGCTCTGGGCACTTTCCTGGTGAAAGAGGGTATATAAACTATAAATCCCCTGGCTGGGTCTGAGCACAGTTACGGGACTGGAAATACAGGTTCCCTTTCCCGAGGGGCAGAGGAAGGCTTGGCTGGAGCAGGAGCCGGCAGCCGAGGAAGACATGGAGGTGGGTGACCTCGCAGAGGGCATCTCTGCCATCGGACCTCCCGCAGCCACGCGTGGCCTTCGCACTGAGATTAGCCCTGGACTTGCTGGGGCAATGGGCTGGGCATCCCCGGGGAGAATAAATCAGAGGGAGCTGAAGGCTCCTGTCTGTGGAGTGGTGCCTGTAAGCTTGAAGAGATATGGACCTGGATGGGGTTTTATGGAGTGAGTTTTTGGGCGATGCAACATTCCTGGCTCTCCCCCAGGACTTCTCCCGCATTCCCACGCTTGGCCTTTTCCCAAATGAAGAGCGCTACAAACCACATCCCAATGGCCGGTGTAGGATGCTGGGGGCCGTGAGCAAGCCGGGGGGAGCGGGAGCCCTGGCAGGCGTCCCAGCCGAGCCGCTGAACTGGCTCGCCGCAGTGCATGGCTTCCGGCTAACGGCCGCTGCTTCTGCTTTCCTCCTGGCTTCTCTGCGCCTCGGTGCAAACCCGGGGCCCAGTTCAGCAGCCGTCGGGGCTGCAGCAGACGGGCTAAACCCCCCACCCTCGACTGGACCGGTGGGGTGGGAGCGGGAGCTACCGTCCCCACCGAGCCGGCGTGGCGGGGGTGATTTAGCAGCACTGGGGTCTTCATCCCCACACCCTGGGGGGGGGGCTGGGGGCTGTTCATTTGTGGGGTGAGCGGTTCCTTCTCTCCCCATCCGTGTGCCTGGTGGGACGTGCCACGGCTCTGCCCACCGGCCGGTGCCGCCGAGCCCCTGGCAAACCCAAGCACCCCGGGGTCCCCGGTGTCGGGGTGCGGGGGGGGGGGATGTGCAGGTTTCCAGCCTTGAGCCTCCTCTTCCTCATCCCGGGGCCGGGCCGGGCAGGGCAGGGAGGTGGCCAGGGCACAGCCTTGGGGGTGGCATCGGCCGGGGAGGAGGAGGAAGAGGAGGAGGAAGGCGGGCCGGGACCGGGACTCGGCGGCTCCGCTCGGACGCACCATGAGCGGTCCCGGAGGGACGGCGGGGAGCGGGACCCCCCCGGAGGGGAACGGGGACCCCCCGGCTCTGCCCCGGGACTACGAGCTGGCCGGCAAGGTGGGAGGTGGCGCGGGGTGAGGGGGGAGCGGGGAGGGACCCCCAAAAGTTCTGCCGGGGTTGGAGGTTGGGGCTCGCCCCCCCCGGCCCGGGGGAGACCGGGAGGGGTCCGGGGGGGGTCCCGGGGGCCGCCCGCTTCCTCTGGTGCCGCGATGGCGCCCAGGAAGCGGCTGCGGGCCGGGGAAGGGGAAGGGGAAGGGGAAGGGGAAGGAGGCGGCGGCCCCAGCGGAACCCCCCCAGCCCTGCCCGCCCCTAGCCCGGGGGGGTCCCAGATCGAGCAGATGTGAGGATGGGGGTCCTCTCCCCCCGGGAAGTGGAGATAGGGGGTCCCTGCCCCAAGGTGGCGACGGGGGTCCCGTCCCCCCGGTCGCCCACCTGCAGAAATAGGGGGTTTGGGGGGTCTCGGCTTGGTGGGTGGGCTGTGGGACTTACTTGGGGGTGGGACACGGCCGAGCTCTGCCTTCTGAAAGCCCGTCCTGCACTTCTCCAGGCAAGGGGGGGTCCTGCCAGCTGGGGCAGCAGTACCCTCCGTGATACAGGGCAGGGGAAACAGGACCCCATCCAGCCCATCGCAGCACCCCAAGGGCACCGGGGAGGGAGGCAGCGTGTGTGCCCCAAAGCCGAGCCAGGCCAGGGCCCCGCACCCAGCCCTCAGCCCCCACACTACAAACACCCCTGCACCCCTGCCAGGCATCGGGGTGAGGACCCTCCTCCCCGAGTGCCCCCCTCTTCCCCAGCCCAGCTCCGCCAAGGGTCACCCCGGGGAAGCACCCTCCTCTTCCTGGCAGCAGAGAGGAGGCACAGGGCTGATGAACCTTTTGTCCAAAAAATTTAATATGCAGCCGCAGGCTGAGCCCAGCACTGACAGTCCTGCCACCTCACTGAGCTGGCTCCCAAAGCGGTCCCGTGTGCTGCCACCTTCCCCAAAACACTTTTAGTCCTTTGCCCTCATCCTCTCCACTCTGACTCCTTTCAGTGGAGGGCAATTTTTGTGTTTGAGGGAGGAAATCAGTTGCCAGCTTGGTCTGGAGCAAGGTGGAGGCAGAACTGAGCAGTGTTCCCAGCTGCCCTCCAGCCTGGGCAGGGTTGGGGTGTCCTGGGGAAGGATTTTACCAGCAAAGTGAATTAGCAGGAGGCAGAGCATTTTCAGCTCCCAGCTCTGGCTGTGCTGGCCCGCAGGGCATTTTGCTGTGACATCGCTGCGGAGGGTGGCCACAGCTCTCTGGGTTTGCCCAGGGAGCGGGGCTGCATGGGTTTGCTCTGCAGGCTCCAGAATCCCAGCAGGGTGGGCTTGCAGGGATGGACCTTCTTGCTGGAGTCCTGCTTGCTGCCATTTTTAGGCAGGGGCTAGATGCAGTCAGTGTCAGGTTAATTATTGCCGGGCAGGAAAGGGCTGCTGCTGGCGAGCAGGCATCAAGGCATCGGGTAAGGCTGTGCTTACGGAGACCAGCAATGGTCCTGGCTGCTGCCTGCCCGAGTCTGGCAGTGCCAGAGCAGTTGGGGAGCCTGGGCTAAGCCTGTTTGCTTAGCAGGAGGGGAAAAGGTGCCGTGTTTGCTTTGGTGTCTGTGGCAGGCAGGGTGAGATTCCCAGACACGGCGGCGTTTGCCCAAGCCATGCACTACCCCTTGGACTGGGCACACCCGGGGCCCGGGGCAAAGCGTGGGTGGAGGCGGCTCCGTGTGTCCGGGAGCTGCGGCCGGTTCTCCAGGAGCCTGCTGGGCTGGGAGATGGCCAGGGGCCAGCCCGGAGACATCTCTTCTTGGTGTGGTACCTGCCTTCCCACCAGCTCTCCTCTTCTGCTCTCCCCCTTTTCAGTGGCTGGGGGCTGCTCCGCTGCCCTGGGGCATCACCTGGCTGTACCCTTGGGGGTCCCATCCAACCCCCAGCTCTCAGGGGCATCCCCAGACCCAGCCGGACCAGCCCTGGGGAAAGAAACGGAGGGACACATGGGACCGGGGGGGGCTCAGCACCACCCAGGGACGCTGCGCCCTCCCCGTCCCGCTGACACGTCTCCCTGCGCCCATCTTGCAGGTGATGTTACTTGGAGACTCAGGCGTGGGGAAAACCTGCTTCCTGCTCCAGTTCAAAGACGGGGCCTTTCTCTCCGGGACGTTCATAGCCACCGTGGGCATAGATTTCCGGGTGAGACCACCACAGCTGCCAGCCCCTTGCCTCCCCCGACCTGCACCTCAGCCAGGACGGGGTGCTGGGAAGGAGGGACAGGGGGTTTCCAGCCTCTGCACCCCAAATATTCTCCCAACCAGCTACAGGCACTTGCTGAAACCCTTCCACCTCTCCCTGGGAGAGCTGTAACAGAGGGAAGAGCCCGCTGGGACTGTCACCTCTTGCCTTTAAATCAGCAAAAAGCCTCGGTTTGGCCCATCCCGGCTGGATGCGTGGGCTCGGGGTGTGCGGTGGGCAGCTGGCATGACCCACCGGCCAGGCTGAGGCCAACAGCTTTGGGGGCAAACGCTGGTTGCTGTAATTTTGTGCTTTGGAAAGGGCTGAAATGGGCTGCCAAGGAGTTGTTAAGGTCACCAGATCCCATTTAAACCTTCCCGCTGCTCTCTGTTCACCAAATTTCACCTGCAGGGTGTCTCTGGGGATGCACAGGCGGGCAGAGCTGTTTGCAGCTCAGGGTAGAGCGGCGTTTCAGCAGGCTGGAAGTCACGGGGGTTGTCCCCGGTCTGGGCTCTGCCTGTGGCTGCCGACACGTGTCGAGCGTGGTCGGCGCTTCCTCTGCCTCCGCAGCTGCAGCTGCTCTGGTTTTCTGCTGCATTTGCTGCCTGGGCTGCTCTTGGCTTGCAGGGGGGAACTGGGGGGTTGGGGAGCAGGGCCTGGGGGAGAGGGCTGGAGGTTCACTTTGGAGGGGTCTCATGGCCTGTCCTTCCAATAAAGTCGGGAAAGAAGGAAAATCTGCCCCGTCCCACTGCTGGGCTCAGCGCTGGTGGCCCCAGGGATGTTGTCAGCTCGTAGGTACCCACTCTGCCCTGTGCAAGCATCCCCTCCAGCAGCTCATGGCTTGCTGCTGGTAAATAATTTCCAGTGTCTCCTAGGGCATGTTTTTTGTTTTATTCAGCCCATTTTCTCAACTTTTATCATCTCCACATGGGCTGAATTTCCATTTCAAACAATTTCAGGCAACCAAATTATTTATAGGGGTCTTCGCTTTCCAGAATCATCCCTCCAGGTACAATTCTTTAATAGTCTTAAAATAGCCCTTCAGTAACTCCTGCTTTTCTTTTCTCGGGCCTCTGGAGAGAAGGCCGTGCTCTTCTGAGTTGGGTACAGCAATTGCTTAAGCCCCAGTAACTGACTTCTCCACTCACTTGCAAATGCCTCTTCACTTCCCCAGTCCCAGGCTGGCTGCCTGGCTGCAAACCACCCTAACTAACTCAGATTTCCTCCTGCTGTGCTGGATAAAGCTATGTGCTACCTGCAACCCCCCCAGTTCAGTGTTTGCAACCACCTTTAAGGGCCAAGAAAGGCTCCCACCAGCAAAGAAACCTGAGCTGGAGACCCAGCATCGCCCACTGAGTGTCCCCAGGCAGCTCGTAGCACGTGAAGGCCTTAAATTGCTGCAAATAGCCCAAATTTTTAGTGCAGTAGTGGTTCATTCGGCACAGGGAGCAGAGGAATCGTGGCAGAAGGGTCAGGGCTTTATGGCGGGCAAACATTATGAAAACACACCAAGACATTATTAATGAATGCACATTTGCATGTAGTTCATGCAAGACCTCCCCACTTCCCCAGCTCTGCCGAACTTCCCCTGGCCACGTGGGCAAGCCGGGGGCTGCCCAGCAGGAGCCGGAGCAGATCGGCATCCCCGGGCTTTGCGGGGCAGCCTGCATCGTTATCCAGCTCATTATGGGACTTGGGAGCCACAAAGATGGGGGTGCTGGCTGTAGGAGGTGAGCAAGGCACCAGATCCAAAGCAGGCTGGGATCTTGGTGTCCTGTCTCCATCAGGGCCTGATTCTGCTCTTTTCCACCCTGACATGAGGGGATGCTGCTCTGGGATGTCCCCACAGCCACCGCGTGGCATCGCAGCCCCCCAGCAGGACCAGGGTTTGTAGCAATGAGGCTTCAATGTCCATCCCCACGGGCAGCCTGGCTTCATCCTGCTGGCCAGGGGAGAGCAGCCGAGGGGCTGGGGCATGACAGGTTCCACGCCAGGGCTGGCCAGCACCCACACCAAGGCATGCTTTGGGCTGATGAACGTGCTCTCCTTCTCTTCTGCAGAACAAAGTGGTGGCCGTGGATGGCGTGAAGGTGAAGTTGCAGGTGAGCTTTGAGAGGGGGTGAGCAATTCCCAGCCAGATTGCTTGAACTCCCCCCCAGGCTGAGAGCGGTGGTCCGGCAGGGCTGGGAGCCACAGGGGCATCCCCACCTGGGAGGGTTTTCCCCTCCCTGCTCTCAATGGGGCGGCTTTTTGGCAGATCTGGGACACGGCAGGACAGGAGCGTTTCCGCAGCGTCACCCATGCCTACTACAGAGATGCCCAAGGTGGGTTTGGGGTCTGGTGGGGACGGGGGAATACCAGCCGGAGCACATCCCTGCAGCAGGGCAATGCCTCTGCCTCTTCCCTTCCAGCCCTGCTCCTGCTCTACGATATCACCAGCAAGATGTCCTTTGACAACATCCGCGTGAGTCCCCTCCGTGGGTCGGGAACGTATTTCTCCCCGGGAACTGGGGTCGTGGGTGCCGTGTACTGCTTGCTGGGTGTTTGGGGCAGTTTGAAGCCTGTTTTACATGTAAGCACCGGCTGTTTTGGCCAGACCCAGCCGGCTGGGAGCTCGTCCCTGGGGCGCCTGGCTGGGTGCTGCATGGCTGGGTGAGTTTTGTTTAGGGACATGGTAAATGGCTGGAGGGAGAAAACGTGGTTTGGGATGGACGTGAACTACGTGTAGGCTTGGGCCGTAGCCAGGAGACTGGGTGTTTTCAGGACTATTCAGCTGTCATGCTGGAATGGTTGCCATGCCAAAAAAAAAGTCATTTTCCCCATCCTTATGGGGGTGAGTGAGGGCTGGAAGGGGAGGGACGAGGGTACCGCTCACCCTGACACATCCCTGCTGCCCCACAGGCCTGGCTGACGGAGATCCACGAGTACGCCCAGAAGGACGTGGTCATCATGCTGCTGGGCAATAAGGTGCGTGCAGGGTCCCCCTTCACCCCGCGGTTTGCCGTGCCGTGCCCTTGCCGTCCCTGTGGCTGTGGAGGGATGGGGCTCCGTGGGTGCTCTGCCTGCCGGCTGGGTGCAGCCAGCCTACACCCTCCATGGGGCTCTGCTGCTTTCTGGGCTCAGCCAAGCCCCAGAGGTGACCCCAGAGGTTTTTGGGGTTCGGGGCGGGTAGTGTCCCCGGCAGCCAGTGGGGGGCAGCACGAAGCTGAGGCTCCCAGTATGGGATGCTACCGGTACTGGATGCTGGTGGGTATGGGATGCTGGTGGGTATGGGATGGCCACCCAGGTCCTGGATGCACTCCCAGATCCCAGGTAGCCCCAAGTCCCAGATGCCCAACCAGGACCCACATTCTCTCCAGGGGTCCCAGATGCTGCTGGGTGCCCAATGCCAGACTGGGTACTGGATTTTCCCCTGGGACTGGTTGCTCTCTGAATCCTGGATGATGCTGGATACTTGATGCCCAGCAGGGTACCAGAAGCCCTCCTGGATGCCCACAGGTACCCACTGGGTGCTGCCCCAGGTCCCCAGGTCCTGGATGTCCCCCCATATCCTCAATGCCACCAGGTTCCAGATGCTCAACAGGTATTGGATTCACCTCTGGGCACTGGATATTCCTGGGTCCCTGACACCCCCAGTTCCTGGCAGCCCCTTGCACACCCCACATTGCCTGCTTGCCAGATGCCCCCAGGGTGCCAGCTGGCCCTGGTACGCGATGACACTTTCCTTCCCTTGGCAGGCTGATGTGAGCAGTGAGAGGGCCGTGAGGATGGAAGATGGAGCATCGCTGGCCAGGGTGAGCCATGCCAGGGTCTACCCCAACCGCAGCCCCCCCCCCAGACAATTGCACATCACTCAGGGTCCCCGTGCAGCTGTGCCATCCCCTCTAATAGGTACCCAGACCCACCTGGCTCTAGCACGGGCAGCATGGCAGCCGCTTGCACACAAACCCTGGGGCAAGGCAGGGAGGGGAAGGCACCTTGTCCCCAAGACTCAGCCAAGTGACAGGGATGATTCGGAGGGACAGGTGGGAATTTTGGGGCTGGTCGCTGACAGGGCCGTGCTGCCCTTGCAGGAGTACGGGGTGCCTTTCATGGAGACGAGTGCCAAGACGGGCATGAACGTGGAGCTAGCCTTCCTGGCCATTGCCAAGTGAGTACCTGGGGGACCCGGGCAAGGGAGGTCTCCCCCCGACCCCACTGCCTCCCGCACTGGCACTGGAGCAGGCAGGGGGGGTAACACGGCCCCACCACCCCAGGGAGCTGAAGCAGCGCGCGGTGCAGCCACCGGACGAGCCCCGCTTCCAGATCCACGACTACATCGAGTCACAGAAGAAGAAATCAAGCTGCTGTGCCTTCGCCTGAGAGTGGCCGGGAGGAGCTGGCAGCCCCGGGGGTGCAGGCAGGCAGGCAGGAGGCAGAGCAGGGGCCTAATCCTGCCCTTGCGTGCCCGAGGAAACCAGGCTCTGACAAGCCAAGCGTGGACGGGACAATTCGGCAGAGTGAAGCATGCACAGGGAGAGCCATTGCCCTGGCGCCAGGATCCAGGGGCCAGATCCTGCTGCCCTGCGGGGCAATGCCTGGAGCTTACTGTGTGCTACTGGGGGAGTAACCACGTTGTGATGACTGCCAGCCTGGCCAGCGAGCCATTGTGGTGCCTCCATCACCTGAGCAGGATACGGCCCTGCAGCTAGCTGAGGGCTCCTGGGAGCGGCTGGAGGGGCTGCGTGTGTGCCATGGATGAGCCTTCGTACAGCCGCCGGTCCTCTCCTCCCCTGCAGCCATCCCCACTCTCGGCACTGCTCTCGTCCGGCTGAAAGGGCCTGATCCAGCCCCCACGTCCCCGGTGCTGCCAGGCTCTGGCTTCCCTCCAGGGAGCCTCAGCTCTGCCCCCCAGGCTGCCCCCCAGCTGAGTCCAGCCGGTGCCCACACTCACCGTGACTCCTCACTGCTGCAGTTGCTAATGTCAGCTTTTATCCTCCTGCCGCCACGAGGGCAGCGATATCCCTGTTGTGTCCTGGTTCTGCCGGAGGGAAGGGCCGGGATGGGGAAGCGTCCAGCCAAGCCTGCTCCCTGCCTGCGCAGCTGATGTGAGACATAAAACTCCCCTTGGAGCACCCGAGTGATGCTTGGGGCAGTTCTAGTACACACGGCAATTTGGAAAAAAACTTTATTTCCCCCCTCTTGTAGCCACAGGAATTAGAGACTTTTTCTTTTACAAGAAAAGCCTTTTTGTTTTCAATCCCTCCAGACAAAACCATCTCCGGCCTCACGCAGGCTGGAGCTGGTGGGGTGGAGGTGCCCGCGGTGGCCTGGGGCTGCTGTGCCTGCCGGCTCCCAGGGTGGCCTGGGTTTCTGTCCCATCGCTGCACATGTCATACAACTGTTTCTTCCTGCCACTGGCAAATAGCAGCTGAAACCCACTCTCTGGAGAGCAGATGTGTGAGATGTTTCAGCCAGCAAATGCTGCTACACGGGGCACAAGGTACAAGGCTTGGGCCCTGCGTTGCTGCACATCCCCGGTGCTCAGCCTGACCCTGCCGATCCCTCCAGCACGCTGCCGGCTCCTCTGACTGCTACCAAGGGTGGTGAGATGGTGAATATTTGGTTATATAGCTGAAGAGTTGATGCGAAGGGCAGCTGCGGAGGGCATGGCACTTTTGCACGTCAGAGTCGGGGACTGTCCGGCACATCTGTCCCCACCAGCATCTTCCCTGGCCCTGCGCCCCAGCTGCTTGTCTCTCACCTGCCCCCGTCCCTCCTTCGCCTCTGCTCTGCTCCCGGGTCTTTCTTTGCAAGTTTACAGATTAAAGCTGGGTATTTTCAAGGCTTTGCATCTGCCTGTTTTTTCATTGTGTGAGAAATCTCTGCCCGGGGACTGCAACGTGGGAGGCTGCTGCAGTCCAGCGCTGCAGAGCTGCGGGGCCGGGGGGGCCCTGGGAGCAGCTGTGGGGAGGGGGAAGAACACGCAGCCCCTTCCTCCCTGCTGGGGCTTTCCTTGAACATTTCAGACAGTCCAAAGGTGAGAGGGGAAGAGTAAACATGGCCTGTTAAATTAAAACCAACCTCCTCCCCTGCTGTTCTCATGGTGCGGAGTCCAGCATTCCCCAAATAACTCCGTCTTCCCACCAATGGCATTGCTGCTGCTGCTTGGCTGATGTCTGCAAAAAATGCTGGATGGCTTCAACACAAACAGACGTTGGCTCTTTTCTGCTTTCCCTCCTCCAGCCTGAGCTCCCTTAACGTCACACCGAGCCGCAAAGGGCCCTGGCAGGAGGAGGCAGCTGGGGTGCAACGGTGCTGCCTGCACCCTGCCATCCTGCGGGTGCTGCCGATGTCTGCCGGACCCAAAACCAGCTCCGGCTGTTTCCTTTGCTGCTGCCTTTCTTCCTTATCACGGTCCCATGCTCAAACCAGCCCTCTTGGAGCTGTCTTTTGTTTCCTGACTTAGGGCAGCGTTCCCAAAAAGTGTCCCCCCCCCGCCTCCCCCCCAGAACACACATGCTCGCAGGGCTGTGTCTCTCACAACCCCCTTGCCAAAGGGAGGGCTGTGCCACATTGATGCTGCAGGCGATGGACCCCCCTGTCCTGGGGCTGTACTGTGACATGCTTGCCCTGGTTTTCCTCTCCGCAGGCATCTGCCGCCGGCCGCCGTGGGATTCCTCTCTGCTGCCTTTCTCAGGGCTGAGCGGCCGTGGGCAAATGCTCAGCCGAGTGGAGGAAACAAATGAGCCCACCCTTCGCTCCCAGCTCGGCCCCACGGAGCTGGAACAAGGCCAACCCCCAGCACCCCCCCAGCACACGGGGGGTTTCTCAGCTGCTGGGGTCCCTGCAGCAGGGGTTCGGCACAGAGCCACCCGGGAGGGACATGTCCTGCGGCAATGCTGCCATCACCTCCTTGCTTGCCCGGCTGCAGCATGGTTAAACGTGAACCCGGCTGCCCTGAGGACCTTTGGCCAGCCTGAACTTCAGCTAGGCCCTGAAGCCCGGCAGTAAGAGACACTGACGTATCTCCGTGCCACTCTCCCCGGGATGATCCCGGGAGCCCGGGGCCAGCTCTGCCTGGCCCCAGCAGCCCTGCTGCGGTGCCGGAGCAGCCCAGGCTTGCTTCTGCCTCGCTCTGCCCTGGCTGACCCGAAACCCCAGGATTTCACACTCTCGTAATCCCCTGCAGCCAATTCTGCTTCCCAGGTCGCGAGCAGAGCACATTGGGGCTGGGCAGAGCAAATCCCCCCCGAGTTCCCCCCCAGCTCCCCATCCTTGGGTCCCCCAGCTCCAGGGTGCTGAGCGGGGGCCAGGGAGCTGCTTGGGGGAACAGGGCTGCTCTCTCATTTCCGCCGCACAGCGGGTTACCCGCGAACGCGGCCTCCCATGCTGCTTTCCCACGCAGTTTCAGTTTGGGGTTTTTATTTTGCTTTTGAAGCTCTTGAGCATCCCATCACCCCATCTGCCTCGGAGCAGCACGGGGGCCGGCACCGAGAGCGGCGTTCGAGCACCGGCCGAGGGGACGGGGAGGCCGAGCCCCGAGAGGCCGAGGTGTGCCACCCGGGACGTGCCCCGGACGGAGCGGGGAGAGCGGGGAGCGCCCCGCCGGTCTCCAGCCAGCGTCGGGGCTGTCTGCCGTGACCCCGGGGGGAGGCAAAGCCGGCCCACGGCGGATGGGAGGGGAGGGCTCAACGGGGAGCGGGCGCTGCCCAGGCGACTGGCGGGGAGAGGCGGAGGTGGCCCCGGGGGAGCGGCCCGACCCCACGCGGGAGCGACCCGGCCCCACGGGGATGGGCGGCAGGACCGCGGCGCCGCCGCCGCTGTACCCTGCCCGGGACGCCCCGGCGGGGCGAGCTATATTTGCATAACCCCACCCCTCCAGTAGATTTGCATAACCGCATCCCCTATGGTTGCATGCCCTCGCCCCGTGGATCTCCTTGTTTGGCGGGTCTCGCCCCGCCCCGCTCTCCGATTGGCGGCCGCCCGCGCCGCGCCCCGCCCCCGGGTATAAGAACGACGGGCGGAGGGGGCGGGCGCGCAGAGGCGCTCGGCGCGGCTGGCGGGGACGGGCGGCGGAGCCGCTCCCGCCCCTCCCGCCATGAGCAGCGGCGGCAGCAGCACGGCGGGCCCCGCGGCGCGGCTGTGCCGCCTGGAGCGGGGGCCGGACGGCTACGGCTTCCACCTGCACGGCGAGAAGGGCAAGCCGGGCCAGTTCATCCGGCTGGTGGAGGCGGGCTCGCCGGCCGAGCGCTCGGGGCTGCGGGCCGGGGACCGGCTGCTGGAGGTGGACGGCGAGAACGTGGAGCGGGAGAGCCATCAGCAGGTGGTGGAGCGCATCCGCGCCGCCGCCGGTGCCGTCAGCCTCCTCGTCGTGGACCCGCTGGCCGACGAGCAGCTGCAGAAGCGGGGCGGGCCGGGGACCGAGCCCCCCGTGGGCGGCGGGCAGGCGGCCCCG